CTAGTTACTGTAAACCCCGCACCTTCTATTTTCTCACTCAATTCAGGCGGACGGCGGCGGCGGCCTTGTTATACGAAAGTGTTTTAATTCGGGAATTTTCTTCTCAACGGAAATTTTATTTTTTTATTCAAATCCTTTGCATTTTATATGATATAATAATTATGTTTAAAGCACCGATTCAATTATGGAAGTTAATTATGTTTTAATTAATAAATTCTATAAAAAGTAACAATATAATACACTAAGATCCCCGTTTACAAATAATGAAAATGATACGATTGGTTTAATAGTTAGAATTATATTGTTCATTGCACCTTATCTTCCTCTCGGACCAAAGACCACACTGATCGGGCCACAAAGGACCACCGAACCGAGCCTCCCATGGGCATTTCCGCATTGAATTAACAATTAAGGAACACCGAACTACTAGCCATTCCTGCATCGGGAGCTCACCATGTTTTTCGGCATCGAGGACCTCCAACAGTTTCCATCACTTGATAAATTCTAAGCCATGGCTCTGATACCACTTTTAGCCTAGGTTAGTTTACATTTTTCTTAGGGTAAACTTCAATTTACCTACTTGAACTATACCCAAGGTGTAAAATACCCCCTAAACTTCAAAATGAACCAAAACAACCCACCTTTTATGTGGTCAACGTTAAAAAACTTAACGCCGTTAGTTTTATTATCAAAACCGTTAGTTTTGTAGGGGTTTTACGCTTTTGCCCTTAAAACTTCTTCTTCCTCCCTTCTCCTTCCTTTCTTCTTCTTCTTCTTCTTCGTAATTTTTCTTTTTTCTTTCTTTATCTCTCCCTTTTTATTTCTTCTGATTCAAAAACTGGATTAAAAAGCTGTTTGTATTCTTACACTTTATATATATATATATATATATATATCAAGTTATCAACAAATAGATATTCTGTTCATTTACTAGTTTACGCAATTGAATCACTACTTTTATCCATAAATCAACCACATGGGACTTGGGCTGTGGAAAGAGGCGGCAGAGACGATGGCGGAGATGTCGGTGGTGGTTAATCGGAATAGAAGCGGCGGCGACGCGGCGGAGTTTTTTCGGGTCATTTTCATTGGGCCGCACAGGTGGAGTTTCCTCTTCTTCTTCGATTTTCTCTGCGGAAATCGAATTTCTCTATATTAAATTCCGAGAAGTAGATAGATTTCCAATAGATGATGGGGACGACGTGAATTCTGGTGGGTAGGACAATAAGATGATGACTTTTTTTTTTTTTCAAACATGCGGAGGAAGAGGGCTGCTGATGGTGGAGGTTTCCATGAAAGATTTTTTTGGAGAAAATGCAATCAAGTCCCTAAACTATAACATGAATTGCAGTCTTGCCTTTATTTCTTTTTTTTTTTATTTTTGCAGTTTATTCATAAACATTTATAAACAACAGAGGGGTAAAATTGTCCAACTTAAACAACAGCTGGAATAAAGGTAATTGCCCAAAAAAGTCAATATGCCACGTCAGCAAAAGTGGACGGATTTTTAACTGAGGGACTATTTTGATTCGTTTCAAAGTTTAGGGGGGTTTTCTATACGTTGGGTATAGTTTAGGTAGGTAAAATGAAGTTTACCCTTTTTCTTATTGTCTGAAGCTGCTATTCGTGATTATTTTGAAGTTGATATTTATGATTATAAGAAATTGTATTGTACATTTCTAATCTACAGTCTTCAATATATAGTGTTACTGATTTTGGCAGTATTAAATATATTTCGTATGTTGATTAGAATTCGGGTCTATTTTATACTAAAACTACTTATACTTTCAAACCCAATTTATTGATAAATTGTTTTGCCATTTTGACCTGATATTTTTATGGATTAGATGTGCCTGCATTCGAAACTGATAATATATGATTCATTACATTCATTTGTTTACGTGTATATATTATACGTACAAATACTGAAATATATACACATTCTGCACACATTAATATAGCATATCAAATTCCGTTGAGACATAGTAAAACTCTTTTACCCAATCACAAATTACAAACGTTACATCAGTCAATATGATACACACTGGCATCATCTCCATGTGCAGAAACTATCAAACAGCTACACTCAATTTGATTAACCAACTTAAAACATGATTTCTTGTCAGCAAAAAAAATTAAAAAATTCCACCAACTCGCACACAACTGATCTGCAATTGCATAAACACCGTCGCTATCCTTTTTCTATCAAGAATCACTACACATAAAAGAGGTTAAACAAGGAATAAAAATAATCAGAAATGCATAATAATAGTTTTCGATGCCCTCAGTTCTTAAAAATTATTATCACAGACACATATACGGTAACATTTAGCAGTGATTCCATCGTAGCCAGTCCCACATCATCAACCGGCTCGACCATAAAGTTTTCCGGTCAATAATAATAATAATAATAATAATAACAACAACAACAGCAACAACAACAGTAGTCACTGATAATCAAGAAGAAGAAGAAGAAGAAGAAGCAGCAGCAGCAGCAGCAGCAGCAGCAGGAGACAAGTTACGATGATGGGGAGGCTACCGAATGGAAACCAAAGCTACCAGTAATATATCTGTGTGTCTAATCATCATCAGGCATCATTACAAAATACGAACACACATTTTATCGTTTAAAAAGTAACGAAAGTATGTTTAACAACAAACTTAGGCCTCGTTTGGTTGCCAAGATAAAATTGAATAATCTAATGAAACCAAATTGTATTATTGAAGCTTGGAAGATCCAATAAAAAACATGTGTAAAAAGATGATAACATGACAAAATTATTGGGGATACCAAACATCAAACAAAATCCCATTACTTAGTTAATCACGGCTAATCTCCCCTACCAAACGAGGCCTTACAATACTAATGCACATACATTTCAATTAAGTAACTAAAAGCCCTCAGTTCTAGAAGCAGTTTAAGGCTACCAACATTTGCCGAGGCAACTTTCAGCACTCACATGCTGTAGATATTAATAAACAAAAGGCTGCGATTATAGCGATAGCAAGTTCAACGAACTTTCAAACAAGGTCAACTGCAAATAAACAGTTGTTAAATAAAAGGGTAAATTACAGTTTGCCACCCCCCAAGGAAATTGGGTGCCTCGACAAATGGCAACCAGTTAAACTGCCTAATATCCATCATTGGGCACTACATCTCTACATTATATACAAACACAGATGACAATCGAAAACCAGCAAATGAACAGAAAGCATCAAGTTAATTTGATCCTCAAGAAACATGTAATACCTTTTTATAAATTGCATCCAAAAACACAACAATCGGAAATAAAATACTGAATGAACCCAACAATCTTTTCGAAGATAATATTAATCAAAAGAATCTGCATAAACTTCCTTCATAAAATGCCATTACAATTTGTAAATTCGAAACTTTATTTTAGAAGTAAAATTTGGCAGAGAGGCGAACTCAATTTGCATTTTGCACAGAGACAAACAATTTTCAGCGCTGAGCAGAAAGTTAGCAAATTTATGAAACTATGTACAAAAGTCAACACGACAAAAATCGAAATGATGAAATTCACTCAAAAAATTAAAATTGAAAATTACTTTAAAAAAAAAAAAAGGATTATAAATAAAAAGGCCCTCAGATCTCATAGCTTTTAACGGATCATAAGCGGCTGTTGGATTAGATTCATCAGAAGCCTTTCACACACCGCCATGGACAACCAACCAACTTCGCAGCGGCGGCGGAGGCTGATTATTCCGGCGGTGCGCAAAAGCTAGTGATGAATCCATAACCATCGTGCCACCTCAATGTGTATATTTTTCCATCATCGGGCGTTTTACAGAACAAAATACAGCTGAAAAAATATATAAATTTCAGAAATGAAAACGGAAAATTTGTAAATTATCGAGAGATCTGTAAATGTAAACGAGCGGCTGAATGAATTTACAGAGAGCAATTGCTTTGATGCTAGGGTTTGATCGAAATTTATATTAATTTATTTGGTGGGCTGACCCCAAATAGTTGTTAGAGAATATTCCAATTGTAAATAACGTGCGAAGCCCTGTTTATAAAAATAGACTCAAGCCCAATCAATCGGAAGATTTATTAAAGCTGGCCCTGGGTGTGAAAATCTGAAGGATTGAATCGGAATTTATTGAAAAAAAATATAAATTATTTTTTCATAAATGAAACATTATTTTAAACTTCATTAGAGAAATGGATTAATCGAATATTGGAATTTCGAAAATTGGAATGATATAAGGTAGGGTAAATTACAAACACCCCCTAAGGTGAGGTTTATTAAAGAAAAAAACCCTCATTTTTCTATAATTACATTCACACCCTTAAATGTGTAGATATCTTACATTTAACACTTTTTTTAGGGGTAGATTTAAGAAATTAACTAACTGCAGGGGTTGGATGTAATTTCTCAAAATAAGGGTTTTTTTGGTGATTGCATTTTACCTAGGGGTGGTTATAATTTACCCTAAATGTATTCCAAAATAGGAATTTGTTTGGACAAAATACATTGGAATGCATAATTTATATTGTTTTAGTTGCTTATAATATAACATACATAATAATATTGATGTTATAAGTGTGTGATTAGGAAATATATCGGAATTCGAAAATTAAAATCAGATCGTAAATCAGAATGTGATATCACATATGTATCCAAATTCCACTAAAAAAACAATCAAAAAAATGCAAAATCGAAACTTCCAGAATTCGAGATGAAAAATGATCTAACATCGGTAATATTTTGATTGAAATCGACAAAGTTCAAAAATTAAGCATCAAATCCAATGATATAAAGAAAATAGATTATATTCTTTAGAAAATTTTGCTGACTAATGCTGCAGATGGCCGAGCCAAAAAACCCTATAGAAAAATCACAACCATGCAAGAGTAGTAAGGCTGTGTTTAAAACTAGAGGTTGTAGCAAATGATCAGTTAAAAAATCTTGAACCACAAAACGTGTCGTCGAAGATGGGAAACAAAAAGAGAACGAAGCTGTGGCATTGGCTGAAAGGATCAAGAAAGCAAATAGGGTTCACGTTTACTTGCTTAAACCAATTAGCAAACGTACAACATTCGATAATATAACCAAAGACCAACACTTATCCCCATCTCTGTCTCTTAAAACCTTTCAATTTCTTCGAATACTACTCCATTAATCATAAATTAAAAAAAAATAAAAAAAAGTTCGTAAATTTCAGCGCAGAACTCAGACACAAGTATCTCCGAAACCGCTGATGTACGGTATCTACAATATCATCACCATTTCCACTTAATATTCACTCATGTAATTATTCAAGATGCGTTTAAATCACACAAAAACGGAAACACTTCCTAAGGCCTAAGCTAATCAAGAAAGTTTCGATCCCTATATATCATGTACTAAGTTGTCGTTGCTCATCATCTCTCAACATAGTTACTAGCTATCCTCTTTCTTGTTCAGAAGAAAACAAAGACAGTGTTGGGAAAAATTCAGAGTTCAAATAATGCGCTTATTCAACATGGCAACGCTTCAAATTTGATAAACAGTTATGCATCATCGAACTATCCGTAATACTATTAGCTACAAAAAAACAATAAAACCAAGAGTCAAAACCGGTCGAATTACCTCAAAGCTGAAGATATCGAACCAAGTTTTCAGAAACATAATATTACAAATCAACCCCCTTCGAAAGACCGCAAAATCAACATAAATCCAAATTCTCCACTCATAATTCATCAGCTTTGTTCTTGATTGATGAATCAGAAGAACCCACCGATTCTTCAAGCTCCATCCTCTCGAGATACCGATTCAAAATCGTGAGCCGAGCAGTCTCGAACGCAAAGTAACCTATAGCCGAAAAGCATGCACTGTAAAAAACACGCGGCCCCATCCCTCGTGTGAACCCAACCCACCCTTCTTCCTTAAGTATCTGCTTCACCGTACACCGAACCCCACCATACATTTCAGCAGCAACTTTATTCACAGCCTCACCATGCCCCTGAGTCATTAACCTAGTTTTCACCACATCCAAAGGTGTCGTCAAAGATGCCGATATCGCCCCCGCTAACGCCCCGCAGCAAACGCTCTGAAACGGCTCCAAATTCGCCTTTTGAGTCTCCCTCAACACCGCAGCTTTTAAATACTCGAATGACGAGTAGCTCAAAACACCAGCGGGTAAGTTTCTGAGGAGTGTTGCGCTGTAGCCGGCGTATAGACCTAAGAAACCGTCTTTCTCTAAAATACGCAGCACCACTTCCCACGATCTCCCCTTCGCACCGGCCTGCATTCGCTGAGTGATCAACTCCTTCGGCACCATAATTGCCGACGAGACGATGTTACCCATCGCACCGGCTGTTGGCGGGATTAGGAGAACCGGATAGTTGCCGATTTGAGAGAGGATCGACTTGCCGAACTCGCACGTGCCGAAGTAGACGGCGGAGGAGAAAGTCGATCCGACGATGACGGCGGAGACGCCGCTGTAGAACCCGAGGACTCCTCTGCTCTGGAACGTTTTGACGACGACATCGAACGCGCCCTTGTAAATCTCCGACGCGCCCTTGGTCTGGAGCTTGGTTTTGATCGTGTCGAGGGGGTGGAGGCAGACGTAGGTGAATGCGCCGGCAATGCCGCCGGCGCCGGCGCCGATGAGCGCCCTCTCGAGAACGGAGAGATTTTTGAACAGCGCGTGGACGGCCGGGGAGCCTCTGGTGGCTGGTTTGAGCCAATTGCGGGGTTTCTCCGAGGGTTTGGTGTGTTCGTGATTGGAGATGGTGGTGGATGAGAAATTGAGTCGATTTTTTTTACGATTGGGGGTGAAGGAATGGGGAATTGGGGTTGAAATGAGGGTATTGAGATGGTTGAACGTTGAATTGAAGTCGGTGAGAGTGTGTGAATTTGGAGAGAGAAGGATTAGAGATTTGCGAGATGGAGTTTCCATTGGAGGTGGGTTTTTGAGTTTTTTCTGCGTTTGAATTGGGTGCAGAGCTGCCGACAAAAGGGGGTGATTGTTTGGAGGTGAGATTGGGCTTACTTAGGATATGTTTGGATACAGATATTCAATCAATCAGCTTTTCTGGACCAGGCCCATTTCAATTGATAAATATTTATATTATTTATTTTATTTTTAAAATAGCATCAAATATAAAATTAACAAATTGATAATAGTTTTAACAAATTTTTTAAAAATTTGAAAATTTTCTATTATCATAAAATTTATTTCATATATTTTTAATTTATGAACCTTACTTTTAAACAATTAATTAATTAAAGGAATTTAAGATAAGATTAATCATACTAAAATAGTATATAATTGTGATAACTTAAGTATACAATTAAGTTATGAAAAGTTCAATTCTTGAATAAACCAGAGCTCCTTTTATTTTAATTTTAATTTTTGTAAAATTTTTAAAATTAATCTACTTTAAAATAAAATAAAATAAAATATATAATAGAAAGAAAAAAGGAAAAAATCTGCTTATCGGAGACTCCTATAGAAATATATGAAAATACGAGGGTGTGTTTGTAATTTGGAGGAACTTACAAGCGAATATAGAACTAGGGTTTTTCGAAGCTAAAGCCTCAAAGGAGAAGCTGCTCGACTCACTTTTTTTCTGGGGCCAACTGTTTCTTGCTATAGAACTCGGTATTTACTCTTCTTCTTCTTATTCCTGTTCGCCGATTAACTGCGCTTCTCCTTGTTTGCTTTTTTTAAACTGAAATTCAGTGTTGTTTCTTCATTCCGATTCCGTTAGCAATTTTATCTTTTAATTGAATTGAAAGGTGGGATAAATTAGGGTTCTTTCTGCTGAAGTATATAGGATTTGGATAAAACCTAATTGAATTTGTACTTTTTGTTTGTGTAGATTTTCTTAATTGCCGTCTTTGTTTTCTTCAATTAACTTTTTTCTGTGATGTTACAGTTTGTAGCTTTGAGAAATAGTTTCGCTTGAATTTAATGATTTAACTTTTCGATATACTGTATCTCAGTTTGAATGAAATAGCATGTGTAGTTGTAAATTTAACTCTGTATCTATGGGTAAAAGTTTGTTATCCTTTTTCGATTAATTTGCAAACATATTCATCCCCATATGGATGTGTTAAATGAAGAAAAGATGGATCTTTTTTCGTTACTCGATATACACTTCACTTAGTGTAGCATTATCTGATCGTGTACGTTATAGTACTTGTCGATCTTTTATGTGCTACTCGTTTCTGATCGATAGACTAATCGGTGACATTGAGAAAAAGGAGTGGATAAAGAAGCGTTTTAGCTTTGGTTTAAGGGCTTAATACTAATAATTGTTAGCTGGTAGATAAGTTGTGGCAAAGAACTAGAATAATATGTACTCATCTTTTCTGTTTACGCGAATTTGTTGTGTTTTTTCAAGGCCGATTTATCAGTTTATTTATTTGTTTATTTCTTGTCGACAGTTGAATATGGCAGAGGCAGATGAGTACCGTTGCTTTATTGGGAATTTATCATGGACGACATCCGACAGGGGCTTAAAGCAGGCATTTGAGAAGTTTGGCCATCTTGTGGAGGCAAAGGTATAATATGAATATCAGTCTTACTTAAAATCTTCGTTGCTCTTGTGAATTGTTGTTTTTAATCCATCCTCCAGTCGCTCTCGTTTATTGGTATCATTGAAGTATTGTTCTTGTGTTCTTATTTGCAAATATAATGGGACACTTCTTTGCTTGTTTTATATATGCCCTCGGATTCCTTTTCTATTTTATTTTTTGTCATGAGTAGTTGGAAAACTTGTACTTGTTTAGGGTTTCTTGAGCATCATTGAGCAGGCTCTGGTTTTGACGCAAAAGATCCATGCTTTTTTGTTGCATAATTAAAACGACTCTAAGATATGACAACTGTTGATCCTAGTCAGATAGTAAAGTTGTTAACTTTAAACATATACAATAATTCATTTACCGAGTTTGACCTGTCTTGAAATTTTCTCCATTTTTTGAAATTCCAAAAGTTGTATTTATCGAGTGCTGGGTGCAGGACAATGGGATATCTGTTCTCTGTTCTTGCCAAACGTTGTGTAATCTGTTAAATTGTGTACTGTTGAAAGGAAAGAAAAAGAGGTCCACAAGGGTTGATGATTCCTGATTGTTAAGTATATATGACGTTTGAAGTTCTTCGTATGTGATATTTCGAAAAAAGAGGGTTCTATCAAAAGATTATATTCGGTGAACTGGGGTAAATGAGTTAGCTGGAATGATGATGCGTAACAAGGTTTTATCCCCCAATTTCCTACAAGATACATCACGTATTAATTAAATGTTTCTCCCATGTATCCGATCTCTGATAATTCTTGAATTTCTCCATTGGTCAGGTTGTGCTCGACAAGTTTTCAGGCCGCTCGCGTGGTTTCGGCTTCGTTTCATTCGAAGAAGAGAAAGCTATGGAAGAAGCCATCGAAGCAATGAACGGAATGGATTTGGACGGAAGGTCGATTACTGTTGATAAAGCCCAGCCCAACCAGGGCGGCGGCGGTGGTGGTAGAGACCGTGATGGTGGTGACAGAGACCGCGATAGTGGCCGTGACCGCGATAGGGGTCGTGACCGCGACAGAGGCGGCGGTGGTGGGCGTGGCTCCGGTGGTGACTGTTTCAAATGTGGAAAGCCGGGGCATTTTGCTAGGGAGTGCCCCTCCGGCGAAGGGGCCAGAGGTGGAGGCGGAGGTAGTAGGTACGGTGGAAGGGATGACAAATACGGTGGTGGTGGTGGGAGCCGCCATGGCCCTGATCGTAATGGAGATAGAGATAGAGATAGAGATAGGTATGGCGGCGGCAGTGGTGGTGGTGGTGGACGGAGCAGAGACTCTGGTGGTGGTCGTAGTGATAAGTATAGCCGTGATCGATCTGGACCATACGAGCGTCGGTAGCTTATGTTCATGATAGGTATGTTATTATTATTATTGTTTGTGATAATAATATATATAATGCATTTCACTGCATTGTAGATCGATTTCTGAGACGGTGTTTTGCATTTTACAGGTGCTGCATTAATGATATTTTACGAGTGTGGGAGGACTACTACAAGATCTCGGTGCTTTCGTATTTTGACATCTTTCCTCCTAAACTAAGTTTATTCGACTCTCCTAAACTAAGTTTGTTCAATTATGTACTTGGATCTCTTACAATTTCGAACTTTGTTATCCTTGTTTTGATTACTGGTTATTAGTTCTTGTCTGTTTAATGTTCTAGCCTGTCCATTTTCAATCAATCAATGTTATTTCTTAAGCAAATCTCTTTTAAACAGTTTTAAAACATGACCGCATACTAGAAGCATATAATAAGGCCTCGATTGGTTGGCTAAATTAATCATGATTAACTAAATAATTGTACTTCATTTGATGTTTGATAATTTGACCTGTAAATATTATGTTATCTTTGCTACCAAATAAGCATATACTAAGGCCTCGTTTGGTTGGTTGGGTAAATTAATCATGAATCATGATTAACTAAATAATTGGACTTTATTTGGTGTTTGATAATCGACACGTAAATATTATGTTATCTTTGCTACCAAATGAATATTATGTTATCTTTGTTACCAAAATGAGGCTTAATAGATTTGTAATGCAAAAAATTATCATTTCTTTTTTAGAACATTTACAAATATGAATTTCTTTTGTGGTTACCTACCAAACTGTGTGTTTTTTATACGTCTAAAAAATTAAAATCATGACAAAAAAAAGAATTATGAAATTTGTTAGTCAAATTAATAGGGCGTAATGTGGGTGGTCCTCGTCTCGTAAGGAGCCAAATTCGACTTGGAATTCTTCGCCCCCAAAACTTTGACCAATTCACCGCACATCTGCTTTGCGTTAGCCGAACAGTCACTCTGCATTACGAGTAGTACCTTGGTCAATCCGTTGACCAGCCTCACTTTCTCCTGAGCCACACGATCCCTTGCCAAGCAACACACGCTCCACAGCACAGTTATACCGTGCTCCGTCGCCACACCGGAACATTTCATCAGCCTCTTCACAATCTCCACCACACATTTCCCGTCCTCGCAGATCGCACCCCTCCCCTCCGTACACGTGGCGATGGTCTCTAGCATCGCGAGTGCCTTTTCGACGACTCCCCGAACCGGAGCGGAGTAGTCCGAACCGGAGAGGATTTCCCCTATTGTTCTCACTGTACCGAACCGGATCAGCTCTTTCTTCACCAGCCTGGTGGTTGAGATCGCTATTAGAGCTGACAGGCTGGCTTCTACTGCGGATGTATCGATCTCTACGGTGGATAAAATGTACAGTTCGTACAGTAGCCCTGGTTTTTCTGCGATTTTCCGGTGAGATTGGGGTTTAATTACTGCGATCATCTCCAAAATCTTCGCGGATTTCACCTTCGATTTGATGTTTCCTTTCTGCAAAACCATGGCGAGCGAAGATAAACAGTCTCCACCGTCGCCGCTCTGCAAAATCAGATCCGCCAATCTCTCCGCCACTCCATTCTCCGGCGAGATCAAATCCAAAATCTCGACAATCAGCTCACAGATTCGAATTTGATCCGAATTCGCGAAGACCTCCACCAATTTCGAAACGGCGGCGCTCGATTGCGCGACGAAGAAATTCAAATTCTCCTTCGAAGCGGTCAGGAAACCGATCACCTTCTCCAGCGAGTCGGCGTCGAATTCGCCGGCGACGACGATCTCAGCCGCCTGCTGCTTGGAAATACACGACGTAGGCGACGCCTGTGTGACGTCAGCGTGGGAGAGCCAGAGCTGAATGAGGCGGCGGAGGGTTAGATTGGGGGTTGTGTGGGTGGAGAGCAGCGTCTGCATGGTGGCGGGGCAGGTGTTGTGGCCGAGGGCGAGCCACTTCTCGATTGAGCTCCGATCGTATGTGACGCCGGTGCAGAGACTCACCGGAGAATTCATCAAATCCATGGAAATAGGGCACCGGAAAAGGCTAGGTACAGTAACGTACAATTCCTGCCTCCTCTTTTCTCTTGCCATTTTTTCGTCTGTTTATCTAACGGGGGAATTAAAGGGAGATTTATATAAAAAGAGTAAAAGACAGAGTCAAAGTAGGGTAGAGAGGTGACGTCGTTTTGGTCAATATTTGCAAAATGGATTTTCATTTCAAAATAATTAAAATATTTGGCGTTTATTTATTAATGTCTAATTATATTGATTTTGGCCTTTGGGTGATAATTACTTATATTAAAACCAGACAAAAGAATCCCCAATTTCAAGTGGCGCTGGGGCCCACGCGTTGAAGAAATTGATGGTACATTTGCATGAAATTCATGCATGGATTTAGGTAAAGTCAAACCTCATTTTGCACAATTTCCAATGTTTATTCTTTGGTTTTCACTATGATTGTGATTAATTATATGTATATATGTAAGTGGAGAGTTGTTTATTCGAATAAAATTAGTTCTTACTGAATTTCTGCATGATGATCTGGGAAAGAAGGTAAAGCTAAACATAAATACATAAATAGAATAATCGTGCTTCAATAGCGGAGTCAGTATAGAATCTCGGGGCCATTGTCCTGCAATTTTTTCTCAAATTTCTATTATTTTAACGATCCCTTTGAAATATTTGGAATCCCAGATCCAAGAGATTGAATCGAATCACATACCACCAAAACGACGGACACGATTATCTCAAAATTTTCAAAAAAAAATTAAAAATAAAATCGGTAATAAATGGTCGAATAATCCCAAAAAAATGGGGACAAAATATAATGCAGGTAGGTCGTTAAAAATTAGGCATATATAAACATAATACATTCTATGGTGCAAAGACTGTTTATAGCACTTTGAAAAGCTATTGATGAAGCAATTAACTATAGGAACATATTCATGTAACTAATTAATTTAATTCATCTTTTAGAAGCAATTCATCTTTTACACGTATTTTGTATATGTGTGTATATATATTATTGTTATTATTATTACTACTGTTTTCTTATGTACTGTTGAAGAACGTGTAAAAGCAGGTAGGAAAATGAGAAATTGAAAACATGTACTAACTAGTTTGAATTAAAAAATATGTATGTGTTTGGAATAATTGACTAACGTTATGTATATATTATTATTAATATTGTGATGTGGAAAAGGACAAGGATAACCAAACACGATTTTGTAGTTGCTTCTTTATAATCTGCAACAAACGTTGACCTGACCAACTAATTTATTGATATAAGTAGTCATTTTGAATTGGTCCAACACTTTGTAGTGTTGTGTTTGATTAGGGAAGGGAATTAGGTAAAAATAAATTAAACATATGTACATGTATTAAATTAATTGAGTTCTATAAAATTGAAATTGGTTCTTGTTCAATTTTTAGTGATCATGATTTTTTTGTGACCTGAAAAAAATAAAATTATGATATAATATTACACTGGGCTCCTAATAATAAAAAGGGCTATAGAATTTTCTTTAGGCCCGAATTAAAATCCGAGGTCATTAGGAAAGCCCAAATGAAATTCAGCTGAAAATAGCACGGTTAAGGGAGAAAATTGGAACGTAATTTCCAATTTTTATTAATTTAAAGCCATTTTTTGTTAAATTTTAAAACAATATTTTTCAATCCGAATTCCGCAATTTCGAGTTCCGGTTTTTCCAAAATTATTTGAATGGAATAGGAATACATGAAATTTTAAATTTCGATCCGATTTTTTTCCTCAATATTATACTTAAAATACCAATATTATTACGTGTTTTATATTTTAGGTGACTAAAAACTGGAAATTTTCGAATCTACCGATTTCTTTCCAAAATTTTCCGATTTTTTTGGAATGGAATTGGGAACTAGTAATTCACTTCCGAAAAATATCGTAATTTTTTCGAAAGAGCTAATTCCGATCCGATCCGTCCGATTTACACTTATAACTACGAGAGTTGTTTAAAAAAATAAGTGTTATTTCGTAATGCTTAAAAACTTCCATTATTATTAATTTAGCAAAAAATAAATTAATAATCTATGCATTTTTTAGGACACAGCCACCTTAATGGTAAGTTTTTAGGGGAAATTTTCTGAAAATTGAATATAGGGTATTTTTGCAAGTAAAAAGAACATGAATAGTTGTTTTGACCATAATAGTAAATATAGAATCCTTGAATGCAATAAACTCGAAATTGTACTTTTGAACTGGCTACAAGTGCTTATTTATTTAAAAAAAAAACTCAAGTGTGAAATAAATTACATAAAATATGAAATAGTGGAACCCACATGGGTGATAAATAATTCTTGCTTCACATAAATAAGTCAATAACTCGACAACCTTCAACTACAACAATCTATTTTATATTTTCTTCATCTTTCCAAAGTCTAAAACCAAATCAATTTCGGAATATCTCTTATCAAACTAAGGATAAATAATTAATTGCTTGAATTATTATATGCCTAAGTTCAACTACAATTTTAATCAATTTTAGTATCTAATATTATAGCCAATACAATTGGTAAACTTAGAGATAAATGTGCCATATTATTATAATTATTATTTTCTTTTTTGTGACAATTTAACATAATCTCTTCTTAAAGAGGGAAGAAAGAAGAACTTACAAATGAACTCTAAAATAGTAACGAAAATGACCTAAACTAAGTACAACGACTTTTAGCAGGTAACAATTTAAAGAAGGGTAAAAAATAGAGGCAAGAAAAAATAAATTACCTTTTGTATTCAAGTGGACGTAAACAAATCAGCTGAGTCGATTACACGTTTGTTCAAACTTGTTCGAATTTTTTATGGAGCTTTCAAAGCCGTGTTTAAGTTTGTTTCATAAACAACTGTGTCAAGCTCGAATAAGTTGTAACCGAATCGAACACTGATCGAGATTGAGTCGTTGGATTTTTTTCTCCACATCTATTATTATTTTTTTTAATCGAGTTTGTGCTCCATCTGAGTTGAAAATTTATATTTAAATTCGTTTCACTATACTAACAAACTGAGTTCAAACGGCCTTCTGACAAAACTAGTTATTTGATTTGATTTTCAGAATTGTCAATTTAGGATAAAGTTAAAAAAAAAAAAAGAAAAAAAAAACCCCAATAATTTTAGTAAATTATTTTTCTTTTTTTCTTATTAAAGAGAATGTGCATCATAAATGTGAAGGGTGGAAGAGAAGAGAAGATAAGATTGTTAGATGAGTAGGGGGGAAAAGAAAAGAAAAAAGGGACCAAAATGTAAATAAGGGAAAAGACATATTTCCCCTATTTAAAAAAAGAACAATTTATGCTGCTAATAATAGTCGGCCATTTATTTCAAATGGGTCCACTTGCCCACCTAACATTTCAACATTGCACCTCTTTTTCCTCAGATATATCATATATATACATCTATCTATATTTTATTTCATTTTGTATATTATAATTTAATTAATTTATACATCCGTCCCACCATTTTGCATGTTACCATTTCTCATCCAAACAATTTTCCCTTAAGACCCGTTCAAACAATCAACATAACCCAACCCCTTATTTTTTGGGGCTTTTCCAATGGTTCATTATTTTATTTTTCTTAAGTTAGGTATTCTTGAGTTTCACAATCTATACACACTCAAATAAAATTTTCAAACTAAAGTTACTACAAAATATTATCTTACAAGATGTATAGATCATTTTCGTTCCGGTAGATTTCGTCGTTCATGATAAATCACGTTTGTACCCTCAGTAATAAGATAATGTTTGGTTTCATTTTCGTCTCAGTCTTATTGTTTTCTCGAAAAACAGTTCCAAAAGTTTGTCTCTCCCTCATACATGATTTAACTGCTACAGTTAAAAAAATTGACTGCAGTAACAAAAAATATCACCTCAAATTATATACAAACTTTACTTTCGTTTTCAAATTGTTCTCTCAAAACATATTTCTCCCCCATAAAAATGAAAATAACTCCCAAAATAATGGCAAAGAACAAATTTCAGATGAAACACTTAATAAAAAAAAAAGAAAAAAAGAAAAAAAGAGACACCATAAAAACATAGGGAAATAAGGAGTCAATGCCCCCATGTTGCACCTCAACTTTGTGTTCTTCCCTTCCTACATAAACTTCAGACACAAGTTTCCCTTCTGTTTTTTCTTCATCTTTTTACATGGCCCACTTTTATTATTATTATTAGGGTAAATTACAAACACCCCCCTGAGGTATGGTCAAATTACAAAAACCCCCCTCTTGTTTGGATAATTACATCTATCCCCCTCAGCTATGATTTTTTCTTACACCTCCACCCTTATGGTGCCAAATTCAACATAATCATCTAGATTCCATGGAATGTGCTCTAGTTTGTACTCATTTTGTGTAAATATACAGTTTTCGATGCACCACAAACTGATATTACAAGCGAAAAAACACATATTATGATCATCTTGCTTCATAATGTAGAGTTCGAATGGGATAAAACGGGTACAAAAGTGATAATATTCCATATAATCTCGAAGATTCCACTAAATTTGAGGAGTTGAGGGGTTGGTTGTAATTATCCAAACAAGAGGGGTGTTTTTGTAATTTGACCATACCTCAGGGGGGTGTTTGTAATTTACCCTTATTATTATTATATATATATATATATATATATATATATATATATATATATATATATATATATATATATATATATATATATATATATATATATATATATATATATATATATATATATATATACACACATATATATATATCTCTCTCTCTCTCTCTCTATCTATATATATTCTCTCTCTCTAAATATATATTTATTTCTTTCTCAAAATAAATAAAAAAAAAAACATATAAATATATATATATATTTTTATATATATATATATATATATATATATATATATATATATAAATTTATATATACACACACACATTCACACACTAAAACAAAAATAAAAAAAAAAATAAAAATAACCAAACCCTAATTTTTTTTTTTTTTTTTCTAAATACATTTATATTTTTTCTTCCTCCCCTTCCCACACACACACACACATACACATACATACACATATATCCCTCTCTCCCTCTATATCCATAAATTTTTATATTTTAAATATATATATATATATATATATATATATATATATATATATATATATATATATAATCCCCCAAATTCCCAAATATAATAAAATAAAATAAACCCCCTTTTCAACAAGTAAACACTATATACACTATTCCAACTGCAAACATCACCTTCCCACATTTCAAATCTCTCTCTCTCTCTGAATCTCTCCCCCCTTTCTCTCTCTCTCTCTAAACTTGAATTTCTTCCATGGGGAAAAGAATTCAAATAACACACATTTCAATACTTCTTTTCTTGATCATATTTACATCTTGTGATGAACATCATCATCATCATGTAAATTGTGCTAGGCACACACAATTTCTCAAAGTAAAGCCACAATCTAATAATAATCATGATTCCCCAAACCCTAATTTCTTGGGGTTTTTGCCGAAAGGCGTTCCTATTCCGCCTTCCGGCCCTTCCCAGAGGCACAACGCCATCGGCTTGGACGCAAGTGGGGCCCGCTCACCTTGAAGATCGAGTAATTTTCAAATTTTAAATATATATATATATATATATATATATATACACATATTTATTAATTAGGAAAAAAAATGCTATTTATTAGCTAGTTTTTTTTTTTTTTTTTCTTCTTCTTCTTCTTGAATTGGAAGATATATATATATATATGGGATGCTGTAAATGTGAGTTGTTTTTCAACCAGCAGCCATTCTTGAGAGTTGATATACGCATGCACGAATATACATACAAATACAATACTTTTTTTTAGATTAATTAAGATTAATATGAATGCATGTAATTGTGATCATGTTTCTTCATCGATTTTCTACTTCTAAATATTTGTTTCGTATTATTCGATTTAGTGACGTATGTTGTACGTCAATATGATGACTAAAATAATTAGTATGGACATTTAATAATATGAACTTAATATTTCTTAATTACTCAGCCGACAGACTGACAATAACAACAATTATTTTTTTTTTCAACTAATTAAAATTATTAATTCATTGGAGAATCTGGTTGTTGATCACGTTCATATTTTATTTGACGTCTACTAACTTAAACAGTCTTTTTTTTAGTTAATATTTTTGAACTTTTTTGTCATAATATAAGTATTAAAAGGGAAAATTTTGTTTCTTGACAATATATATACAAATAATTAAAGGAAATTAAAATAACTTTGTAAAATCTGGAAATAGTTGATTAAGAGTTAACAAGTATAAACATAGAGTCTTGACAACTTCAATATTGTGATTAGGCATGTTTACAAGTGTACTTATTTTTAATAAAATAATATATAAATGATTGCACTTAAAATTAAAATTCCATTTTTTTCAAGTAATTAAGGATTATTCGGAAGATATAAGTCTAATATATTTATCTGATAAATTACGGCCACCCCTAAGTTATGGTGAAATTACGAAAACCTCCTTCCTGTTTGGGTAATTACAGCCATCCCTCAACTATTTATTATTTTACAAAAATACCCCTCCAGAGGTAAATTTATGGATGTTAAATCGGTAAAACCGAACCGAAATTTTGGTACGTCGACATTTCATACCGTTTACCGAACTGAATATACGATTTGGTCCGGTAAATAACCGAATTACATAAATTTTATGGAAAATATTTAAAAGGAGAGGGATGACTGTAATTATCCAAACAAGAGGGTTTTTTTTTAATTTGGTCATAACTCAGGGAGGTAGCCGTTATTTGCCCTATTTTATACTATAAATTAGATAATAAAACACAAAAAGTCTAATTACTTCCAAGTCCTCTGCCGGCCAAACCTCTTTGATTTCAAACATTCTACCAAATGCTAAACCACTGTTAAGTGGATTTTCTTGTTATTAAGTCAACTACCAATTAATTAAGTAATTAACAACACTTATTGAGATCGATTTGGATTTTTGTACAAAATAAAAAAATCTAAGATCATAATATGTGTCTGTTGACTTATAAATAACAGATTGTCGTGCATTTTAAACTGCATTTTTGCACAAAACAAGTACAAACTAGAGAATATTCCATGAAATCTTAAAAAATTGTTGAATTTGACATCAAAGGGTAGACATGTAAACAAATTCATAGTTAAGGGAGTTGTTATAATTACACAAACATGAGGTATTTTTTTGTAATTTAACCTTACCTCAAAGGTGACGGTAATTTTTGTTCTCGTCTTTATTACAATTCGATAAGGCTTAGATGAACCTAATGAAGGTTGATTCCGAAAAACTCGAGCACACAAATTTTCGACATCAAGTGTAATAATAAGTAATATTTAAGAAGTAATATATACACACGATTACAATAAAAATCCACCCTCAGTAGATGAAATCTGGAAAAATGATAAATCTTTAATAAATAAAAAAAAAAAAAAAAATAAAAAAAAATAAATGGGTCTTATGTTTCTGCCAATTGCTCTGACAACTACTGCACATTATGCTCAGATGGAGGATTTTTCCAAATACCGTATATTTTTCGTTTTTTCTTTTACCTAAACTTGAGAAGAAGGTGAAAATCCACGTTCGGATCTCCGGGCAGCCTGACCGGAAACCGATGACTTATCCGATCCACGCACATTATACTTCTCGTAAACTTTTTCTCGATTCTCTGACCACCACGTCTCCGCTTGGTGTTCCCCAAATCTTCTCCGGCTGCACATTGTTAAAAAAAATAATAAAATAGATAATGATAAAATAAAAAATAAAAAAGTTCTTGTAACAAATTATAACACGTGTATAAAAATCTTAAAAAATTAACACCTGAATCGCACGCGTTTGAGATCTCTAGTTCCACCACGAAGGGCAACGAGTGTTATATACACGCCCGGTTCGTATTGTTCGATCCACTCAGATTCGATTTGTCCAGCATTAACCGGGACAACCGAGTTTCTCGAGTTCGATTCCGTTTCGTCTTCATGCGAAGGACCAGATTCTCTGTTTTCGAGATTCTCAGACAAGGTGGTCCTGTAAGACTGAGAATTATTTGCACCGCCATTAGAAAGTCTGGAATCAAAGCCATTGTTTGTTCCATTGGAGGTGCTCTCGTTTCTTACAGCAGCACTTCCGACCAATTCCGACGGACCCGAATCCGATCTTGAATCCGTTTCCCGTTTTGGTTCAAATCCATTTGGCATGTAAATTAGCTTCAGGCTTTCAGGGTCGTAAGCACCCGGCGGTAATCTCTCGGCCATGTCTTTGAGCTGAAATATTACAAATTCGTTTACGTTAAATTAATTTAATTGTCTTTCGAATGATAAAACGAGCAAGGAAAAAACAAAAAATGAATTGAAAATAAGCTTCAAAAAGGCAGTATGGAAAACAATGGCTATAGTTTGAAATTAAATGAGCATAAACACGAGAAAATTCAAATTTATTAGGTTATTGCGCAACAAAAATGCACATACGAATGCGAAACTCTGTATATAACCTGTGCCGTAAGCGACTTGATCACTTCTTTTGCGGCTTTACACTTTGCAGATTCCTCTGCAGCTAATGTCAATGCGTCCTGAGTTTTCTTTGCCGATTTCTGGAGCTCCGAGTCTTGCACTTCACATCGGTTTTTAAGGTTTTCAACCTAATCAATTTCATCATCAAAATAATTAATTAATTATAAACAAAATAAAAAAGAAAAATAATCGTATTTTCACGATTTTAGAACTCGAGGAATTTACCTGCACCCTCAACTTGTGCACTTCCTGATTCAAGAGCTCATTCGTCTTCTTCAAACTATCGTTAATACTTTTGGAGAACGACAGTCCAGATGTTGTAGGAACCGGGGTTGCGGATCGCGGAGGACTGGGTTTTCTCGAGAAGGGCGAAACGGACCTCGAGCTGACAGCCGAGGCTGTAAGAACCGGCTTCGGAACATTCCGCCGTAGATCTATAGCTGTAGACACAACAGCCTCCCTCAGCTGCAACAGTGACACTTGAGACGAACGTCCTAAAGAAAACGCGTCGCCTTTCTTCCCTTGTTTGGCCGCTTTATTATCCAACTGCTTGATCAAATCGAAGTTCGACAGCATTGCGGAGGATTTGACCAACCTTAAATCGGCCTTATCCAACCTGTCCTTGTTCTCGGCAGAAAGCCGAGGCAGGCCTGAGTTTCTTCTGTTGTGGGCCCCAGCTTCCGCCAATTTAGACAGTTTGGCGAAACAAGAATCACAAACACGGTACGGCTTGCTCGGACTGGGTGCCAACGCGGCGCGTGGTGCTTTTCTTGAGCTGCACGCGTGGCAGTGGACCAGGCCGCAGTTGTAGCAGTTGTGTCTCTTTCTTGTGAACCCGAAAGCTTGTCTACAAGCCGAGCACTGCGACTGTTCGGCGCCCGAAACCCATTTATGAAGACATATGGCGGAAGTGTAATTCGAGCCGCAGGCAATGAATTTGACGTGTCTGTCCTTTAAGGATTCGACCAGTGTGGGTGATTTCCTGTCTTCTATATCTCCATGGCCCAATCTCCCGTTCGCCCCCTTACCCCACGTGAAAACCTCGTTTCTCGATGTTAATACAGCCACGTGATAGGCACCGCAAGAGATTTCTTCGACGCATTCCTTCGCGAGACCGTCGTCCACTAGGCATGGCAGCTTCCCGTCGGAGTGAGGATTTCCGAGCTGGCCGTAGACTGTACTTCCCATAGTGAAAATCCGGCCCGACGTGGTCAACCCCACGGTCAAACTATGACCGCACGCGATCTTGTGGAAGTTGTACTCGATGAGTGCAGACACGCAAGTGGGCTTCAGTCTCGGTTCTTTGTCGCCGTGGCCGAGCCGATTTTTGTCGCCGTCGCCCCACGTGAACAATTTCCCCGAAGAAATACTCGCACTGGATTGAGTTACGATGACTTCGACCACAGCAGCAGTGTGCCACACGCCACACGCGACAGCAATTGTTCGCAACCCCATCAGAGAATCCACCTCCCTGGGATATGAAACATTTTCTCGATTTCCATGGCCCAATACGCCAAAGGTCCCGTCTCCGAAAGTGAAGAGCTGGCCCGTGGAAGTTATAAGGGCCGTGTGCCACGGCCCACAAGTGACTGTGGCAACTTGAAGCCCGTCGAGCGGGCCCGCTATTCTCTTGGGTATCCAGTGACTGACGTCGGTGCCATGGCCCAATAGCCCCGCGTAGTGGGTCCCGTCCCCCCAAGTGTAGAGCTCCCCTGCCATAGTGACCGCACACGTGTGAAACTCGCCGCACGCCACAAAGTCAACCCCGGTGAAAGTCAATGACTCGACGAGGCGGGGCTGGCTAACGTCCTTGCCTACGCCGTGGCCGAGCCGCCCGCCGGACTCCTCGCCCCAACTAAACACCTCGCCCTGCCTAGTCACCAGTGCGGCGTGGCGGACCCCACACGCCACGTGGTGCACGTCGAGGACCACGTTGCACTCCAACAGCCTAGGAAGAAGAACGTCGGCCCTCGTATCGACCGAGCTGGCGTTCTTCTCGGGCCCCACCTTGACGACGACACTCTCGCATATGACTTCGCCCCATATGTACACGTCGCCCAAGGCGTCGCAGTCGTCAGGTGCGGAGCCGTGACTGGACGTGCTGGGCGCGCTCGATACGCTGACGCGAAAAGCATCTGATCCAGATCCCTTCGCGTGCATGTTTGTTTGGTCTAAAGATGCATGTGACCTTTCGGAGTAGGCCAAAGTATCGGAGCGGTTGCTCTTTGGAGAAGCTATTGTGCTTGAACTGATTGATACCTCTGGCGAGGTGACTTCTCGTGTGGCACTGACGGAACTATTGCTTGGACTATTGGATGTCAAATCTCTATTGTCCTGAAAATAGTTAGTTGCAGACAGCTTAGAAGAAACCATTATTTACTATTAAATGTTTGTAAACTGAAACAAACGGACGGAAGTTCGTTTCAAGAAAAATGTTACGTCAATTTCTGTTTTCAGAATCGATCTCCTCTTTTAAATCACAATTATCGGTGTGCGTTCATTACAAATGTAAGTGGACATTAGTTCATATAAGTCATAGTTTAAAGAGAAATAAATTAATGAACAATGATCGTAGAAACTAAATAAAATTTAGTTTCAAATTTAAGAAACGAAACCCCAATAAATAAAATTTCAAATTACGCTACGAAGGTAGTAAAATAACTTACGTCGAAATAGAGTCCTCCGTCACTCCATCCATCAATTTTAGAACGCCCGGCTTGTCCAGATGATGATATCAATCCCCTAAGACCAGCTATCCAGATTTCCGCCTCGACTTTGTTCTTGCAGATCTTGTACCAATACAAGAGATCGATAAGTGTAATTTTTTAATATTTTTTTTTAATTAAAAAAAATCTAGTTTAAATACTATTGTCAAAATGAATTTGAATTATCACTGACCAGGTCGAGTGATCTTTTGCCGTTGTTATATATAAGAGAGAAGGACAAATACTCCTTTTCGGGGCGCAGATAGCGTTGAAAAACAGCCTGTGCAACAAGTTCACGAATAATCGTTGAAAGTCAAAAATAGAGATATATAAACATGATAAAGTATAGAATAATTGGTTGCTAAAAAATCTCACAGTTCTTTGTCCAGGGATTATTCTTGAAATCGAAGCTAATTTCAAACTTCTTTCACCGCTACTAGAAATCCAAATTATTGATGTCTCGTCCTACAATATTCAAAATCAAACAACCGTCGGCATTAAATTGAAGCGTAATCATTAATTCTAACAGAACGAATAACTGAAGTTACATACAAAGATTCGACTTATTTATCTGAATGATTATACGGTCATGGTGTAACTATTATCGATTTCATGACTCTTTAATCGATTTCCTATTTCATTTACCATCAAATTTGTTACCAATTACGATATGATTTAGTTTGGCCATTATTTTCATTCTAATTGTCATATTTCGCAACGTCGTAACGAGTTCATTTTCACGGGAATTTTCTGATATAACGTATCATACTCAAGAAACGGTAATTAGACACTGTTGTGAGCCGATCGATTCTATCCACATGATTTAATAAAAGAGCATAATGAAAGTAATCATTGTAAATAATAATAATAATAATAATAATAATAATAATAATAATAATAATACTGTCGCCTTACGTGAGAGAGTCGAAATGGATAAAACTTAGGCTTTCCCTTACGACCATACTTAAGTAGTTGAGCTCCCTTTTTTAGAGCTATCACTGCCTGCACATACCGAAAAAAAAAATCGCAATATAAACATTTTCATTTAAGAACAAAATATTATATGCCATTTACCGTGGAAAGATAAACGAAAGAAAATTGAAATCTTTTCTACACGGGCAGTATTTATCCACACATCACTCATTTTGCAAGTCGATCGATAAATAAGCTCTGCATATTTTTAAGAAAATCAATAACTAAAAAAGCAACTTCGCCGCTGAATATTTAACAATCTTTCGATAATTTCAAGAAAAGCAAATAGGACTGATCGAGTTAATAAAAACCCCTCGTGTAAAAACATTAAACATATTCACACAACTATCTAAAAACTTAATCGCAATCGATCGCACCACGCACTACGTTACTTGCATTTGCTCACTGATAATCAGTTCCTCAATTTATTTATTATTTGAAAATCGATAAAATACACGAACAAACAAACACAAGATTTTCAAGCTACGGCCGATAATGGGTATAATTAAACCTTCGAATGCTTCGATTTTAGCAATCAATCCAATAATAATTCACTGTAATGAGTTTATGACCTAGGTGATAAATAAATACATTTCCTACATAAATTCCAAATCTACAGGCAAAATTTCAAACCAAATTCATCCGAAAATTCCGATCAGTTAATTATTTAGTAGAACAATAGAAAATCAATTATTTGATGAAATTACCTTAAAATTAGCATAAGCACTTGAATTAGTGTTATTAAAAAGTGTAAATAGAATGAATCGGAGAGGTAAAATTACCAGGTCGAAGTCACGGTGGGCATTACTACCGTAGCTAACAAGATCTGCCATTCCATGTGAAACGGTCAGCGCCGCACAACCACCGCCACCGCCACCGCCATTCAACTCCACTCATTATCACGCCACCACTCCACCTCCGCCGCGCACTACCATCCACACCGCCACCTAACTCCCCTCCTCCCCTTCCCGTTCAATTAACAGAATTAAGAATTTAATCTTCGAAGATCCAACACTTTTGAAGAAGAAGAAGAAGATGGTGGTGTGCGCGTACGAAGACGAGGAAGAAGAAGAAGAAGAAAATTAAGAATTAGGGACTACGGAGTCAAAGATGAGGAAAAAAGGCAGCATTTTGCAGCAATTCCTTTTATTTACCCGTGTGCTTCTGTGTAAATTAACGACTTTTTTTTTTCTTTTTTTTAATTTCCTTCTTTCCTTATTATTATTACTTTTTTATATTTATATATATATAGGACAAAATGCGCTTCAACACCTATAAATTTTCTATTTTTTGCAATATTGATTTTGTTGCACTTTGCCTCAAAAAACAATTTTCGATGGGTATTGTTCAGCAAAAATAACATTTTAATTGGGCAACGTGTAGAAGAATAGGGTTTTTAAGGGGCAACTTGCAACAAAAATAACTTTTAAAGGGACAACGTGCAAAAAAATAAAAAAAACACTCAATTCCGATTTTTAATCCATTGGAATTTTGCTACAGGGGTAATGTACAAAAAGTATAACATTTTGAAAGGGGTATTCACTTTTTAAAATTGTGGGGGGTAAAGTGCAAATTAAAAAAAATATAGGGGGTGACATGCAATTTGCCCATATATGTGTGCATATATATAATAGTTGTAACGCATAATATTTTGTGAGATTCTAAAAATTTTGCAGTATATTGTCTCAATTAATTTTGATATTTTGATGAGATGACGAGATGAACTAAGATTTTTACTATAAATAAATCATCTAGAAGGTTGCCCCTAAATTTTCTGACAAATTACTGGACCAGTCCAATGAAGGTGGTCAGAAAGAGCCATTTTCAGGACTAAGGCGGGGCAAATTGGACCAATTTTTTTTTTTTTATCATGGTATTAAAATCTCAAAAACACCCTTGCTTTTTGAATGACGTGGTAAAGAATATATATATATATATTTATTTATTTATTAATTAATTGAGTTTATAAGAATTCATCAAAGGTTATGCAGGATCCCACTTTATTTTATAATTTATTGAGAAATGAGAACGAAAGACTTTCAATTTTATTTTTTATTTTTACATTATTTGTTATTATTATTATTATTATTATTATTATTTTATTAAAATAATAATAATAATAACATATATATCGGAACTAAAATTAGATCGAATATCAGAATTTTTGATAATTTTATATACAATTACAATTCTATTAAGAGAATAAACAGAAATCAATTTTTTTCAAATCAGAATAAAAAAACGGTTCCAAATTCGATTTTTTTCTAATTGGAATCTGCCAAATTCGGAAAATACGTTTGCATTTCCACACCTATGAAAATCCTTATTATATTTGGGCTGTCAAATTTCATTTGTCTTTCCCTTGGCCCATTTAAAACTTTTAAAGTGCTAAAAAGATGTCCAAAATTAAATGTTTTTAATAAAATTTTCTTCTTAATTCCATTAAAAGGTTAAAAAAGGCCCAAACCAATTAAAAATTGTCCTATAATTTTAATTTTCAGATTCAACCATCTGTGTTGTAAGTTTAAAACGGTAAGATAAAAAAACACAAACTTGTACAAGCTTTAATATATGGCATAAAATATTTCTAACAATGATGCAATAAAATAAACTTGGAGGCCAGCCTTAGGCAGATGAAACTGATGATACATTGTTAAAAAAAAAAAGTAATTAAAATTACATGAAATAAAAGATAATTAGTAAGAAAGAGACTAGAGAATATGATTGTGGAAGAGTTGGGGTTGCACCCAAGAGCTGATTGACCTGTAGCCGATACTGCGCGATGGCAGCATCGAAGTTGTGCTCCCGTCTTCCAAGTCGAACACATGAACACTCCTGCCATACTCGTCTGTATAATATATAGAATTGGGCTTTATTTTTCTCGAAGAGAAACAACAAAATCCACCTTCAGCGTGACTTAGAAATATTGCTCGATTGCCTATGTTATCAAGCTCAATGCACGTCATTTGATTTATATCGAGCCGGAAAACTCTAAAATCAACCCCACTACTGGAAAGCCAAGAAACATATTGTTAACCTCAAATTTAAATGTCTGCAAAATAAATTACAAGACAAGAAAAAATAGGAACAAATAATTATATTTTAATCAAAACGAAAATGGGTTACAATCTTTGTTGATTCCTCTGATTCTTCTCCTAGATATAATCCAAGGGCCGAAGCTTGTTCTTGAATTGAGAGCTTGATTCCACCGTTGATTTGCGGAAGTAGATATGGATATCTAGAAATCGATTTGGGGATTTCTAGGTCTTGTGGGTATGGTGCCTTGATGAAGATGTCGAACCTCCGCGGTTGTTGTTCTTCGTTGTGGCAAGAGCTCGAGACTTGAGAGCTTTTGAGTGCTTGATGTCCGCCTTGCTTGATGCTTGTGTACTTGTCTTCTTCTATATGTTTGAGACCTACTTTTATAGACTCGGTTTTAGGGTTTCTTGACTTGAAACTTGGACCGGTGGGCTTGACCACTTGCCACTTCACGTGGGCTAGATTTTATAAGCCCAAATAGCTAACCCAAATGAATAAGAATTTAGTACTTATTTTGAGTTAACTCACATCGCACATTTGCGGAGCCCAAATTTAGTGTGGACTTCGATATAAAGCCCAAACTCTTCACGGGCTTTGAATTGAGATTCAAATTAATAACCGATTTATTTGGATTATTAATTTGTAACTTAATCTCAAAAATTGATATAAGCCCAAATTTATTATGGACCTTTAATCGAGATCCGAATTAATAACCAATTTATTTAGGCTATTAATTCGTAATTTAATCTCAATTTTGATGTCAACAAATGCCCCCACTTCAAGACTCGACGGAGAACATGTTAAATGCTTGTAGAAGACGAGACTTGAAGTATTTTTTTTTTTTTTTTTTTTTTCTATGCCATCACTGGAGAACTGAAGATCAAGCACTGCCAAAAAGAAGCCCGTAAAATCTGCAAGGATCGTTCCACTTATATGTTTGGCATAGGTGGCCACATGTTTCTTAACCACAAAAAAAAAAAAAATATTAAATGGGCCCCTTTGATAATTTGCAGCAGCCACCACGCATCAAATTCTTCTTCTTTTTTTCTTTTTTCTTTTTTTTTTTTTTTTTTTTTTTTCCAAAATTGCCGTGGATCCCACAAATTATGGTCTTTGACCAAGATCCTTCCAAATCTTTTCGTTTTTTTTCTTCTTGATTAACAAAATAAGAAAATTCCTCATGAAAGCAGTATCTCCCTCTCCGGTAAACGCAGTCGATTCTTTTTCCTTAATGCGCAGAAAAAAAAAAAATCTTTTCCTTGATAATACTTGCAGGAGATTTTGGTAACCCACAGTCTTCATTAGCAAAGTTTCCTTTTCAAAAGATTGTGTCCCTTCTCAAAAAATTGGAACATGGTAAATTTAAATTTCTCACGGACCATCACTTATTATAAGAGTAGGGATTTTATGGTTCTGCCAACATGCACAGAGAGTTAGAATAATGAGTATGTGAATTTCTTCTTTTCTGGTAGTATTTCTGCTCGATGATAGGTTGGCACTTGAAATCATATCTCACGCCATTAACCACGGAGCTATGCCCTCAACATGTTCGGCAATCAACCAAAACAGATCTTCTCTATTTCTTTTTTTTTTTTTTTTTTTTTTTATTTTCTTTTTTGCTTGCCGTTATTGATCACCACGTATTTTCTCTGCAGATAACAACCGTCAAGGGATTTTAACAAACAATTTTCAGCTATTTCTCAAATGTCGAAACCATCACCACACAATTTTCGGCTACTTCTCAAAAGTCGAAACCATGACCAGCACCTGCAGAGGTTGGCAACGGCAGTACGTCTTCAATTCTTCATCTATCTTCACAATTCTCGCAAGTCCATTGAACAACAACAGCTAACCGTCGTCATCGTCATGGCTTGGTCGACCCTAGAATCCACAATTCCGATGAACTGGACAAGGACAGCTACTTTGTGCACTTGGAGTTTTTTTTTTTTTTTTTTTTTTTTATATATCGTGATGCACGAAGACGAAGATGATTCACTCCATCTACATAGATGATGATGAGTCAGTCAGAAAGTACATAGATGATGATGAGTCAGTCAGAAAGGACGGGATGCATCAGCACATTGATTTCTTCGGCAGAAATAGGCGGCTCAAAACAACATGCGAGCTTGGGGCCTCAGATCCATTTCCTGCAGAGCTGGCGCTGGCAATTAGAGACGTGCGACCTCAATGGATAGAGGAGTATTGCGGTGACGGCGAAGTTTTTTTCTTGCTTATCGAGTGGCAGCCGGCGGCGACATATGGAAGTGGAACAATTTCAAAAGACGACGGCGCACGATGACGCCTAGAGGGGCAAATATGGAGTGTATGTCGTGGTTCTATCGCCGGAGATTGAGATTACAAACATAGACACCCCAAGCATCACCGAAATTGACACGTCCAGGATGGGTTTTGAATATGCGCAAAGTGATGGACCTGATGGTGTGGAGGCGAATAGGATTTTCAGATTTATCATGAAGTCGGGGCAATACTTCCACAATTGCGACAACGACTTGTTACGGGCAGACCTATAGAGGGAAGGTGTGTTGCCGCTTGCATGATGTCACATACTGAGCTCCTCCAATAAGCTTCTGCTTTCCTGCTGCTCTTGATTCTTGGTGGAATTACCATTGGTTGCTGAAGACGGAATGGACTTCGGGATTCACCTCAGCTTGGTCTACGGCGATACTGTTGCTCCTCCTCCCATTTTTCTTCATTGGTTTCAGGCTTCTTACATAGGGACTATGCATCTTTTTTTTTTTTTTTTTTTTTTGGTTTGACTGAACTTAGAATATGGGTCTAAGCTGCCTACGTACCCTCTTTAAAGGGATCAAGTCATAACGTAGTTCAAGCGAACAACTTAGAACCTTTTTTTTTTTTTTTGGTTTGACTGAACTTAGAATATGGGTCTAAGCTGCCTACGTACCCTCTTTAAAGGGATCAAGTCATAACGTAGTTCAAGCGAACAACTTAGAACCTTTTTTTTTTTTTTTTTTTTTTGGTTTGACTGAACTTAGAATATGGGTCTAAGCTGCCTACGTACCCTCTTTAAAGGGATCAAGTCATAACGTAGTTCAAGCAAACAACTTAAAACAACTTTTTTTTTTTTGGTTTGACTGAACTTAGAATATGGGTCTAAGCTGCCTA